GTTGGAATGTTTTGCCCATTTTACTGATAACAAGAGCTGCAGGTGGTTTGTGCCGATAATCAAATCCATTTCCTAAAAATGCCTTCCATGGAGATCTTAAGGACTATTTCTGGAATCAAGGTCCGTCTTAGAAACCTTTCAATTAACCACCTGAAAACCTTTTCTTGTCGGTTTGGTCAATGTTTCTAGGATTCTAGAAATTTTCACCCAACTGCTTAAACTTTGGAAGCTAGTAACCTCTCTTGGATCTTCCTTTTCTTTGGCATTTACTTCACTGTGTGTTTCTGTTTTACAGCCTCCCCCATCACTGCCTAAGATGTATGAAGGCTTGGCTAGTACTGTTGCATTTGATCGATCTTCTGGCATGGTTGCTTTGTGCACAGAGAATTATTGTGTTCAGCTATACAATCTTCTTAATGACCGGGGAATGTCAGAGGTTAGTATGTGGCTCCAAGATATACTTACGGAGCTCTTTTCCACTTTCTGCTGTCTATGAATCCTCTAAGTTGGTATGTCATAGTTGTAAGGTTAACCTTTTAACCAATGCTTTTCCAGGTTCAAGTTTGTGAAAGAAACCATCAACCAGGTGATGAAGTCACAGTAAGTACATTTCTGTGCTGTTTTATTTGGTTTAATAATATCTAAGATCATTTTCGTTTGGTGATAATTTGAGAATACGGTAATAGGTTATGGTGACAGCGGTTGCTATCTCCCTGGATGGCTCAGTGATGAGTACAACTGAGGTGAAACTTCCGGAAGATGGCATAGGAGGCTTAGTTTCCCTCAAGTTTTGGGAGTCTGAACCTGACAACAAAACTTTCACTTTATCCACAGTTGTATACGAACCTCACAAGTTAATACCTTATCCCTCTGCTAATGTTTAAAGCTTTATTTGTCATCATTACCCAATTTTCTTGTGATATATCATCTCTTATAAACATATCAAATCTAGATTTTGATTTCTCTAATTTTATCTGTTATATCCTTTACGTGAGAGTAAATTTCCTCCATCTGTATATCTTACAGGGATGCTAGTGTCTCAGCCATTGCCTTCCACCCTACCCGTTCCATGGCAGTTAGTACATCGTTCGCTGGGGATTTCAAGGTAGTTCTTAAACTGGTTTTATATAATCTCTCATTTGTATCTTTTATTTTCTTGCTTTTTATTGACATCACTTTTTTCTGTTTCAGATTTGGGTTTGGGTTTGCAACAGCGACAAGAACCAGACAGTTAAGGACTCTAGCTGGATATGTCATGCAGTTGGCTCTTATAAGTAATAGCTTCTCTATGCATTAGGAAACTTCAACATTCATAACTGTTTCGCCTTGGTGATCATATTATATAATCTCTTCCCTTTGAATATTTTCCAGGAAGAAGCCAATGACTGCTGCTGCTTTCTCTGGAGATGGCACTGTTCTGGCTGTTGCGGCTGAGAATGTTATTACGCTTTGGAATCCGGACAAGAACATTCTCCTGTCTGTTTTAGGAGCGACTCTTACGGTAAAAAAACTGTGCAGTTTTCCATTAAAAAGTTAGAGCCTTTCCCGTATATACTGATGTTTAAACCTTTCAATATATATTACAGCCAATTACAAAGCTCTGTTTCGCGGGGAAGTCTGAGTTCCTTGTTGTGGCATCCCATTTTCCGAAACCGGAGTTATCAGTTTGGAATACATCAAAGTTATCTTTATCATGGTCCTATGGTTTACGCATAGAAGGTAAATATTATAACACTTTCTTTAATTTTCTACATGAAAATTCTTGTTGTGTTTTGCTTGGTAAATGTTTCTTCTCGTTCTGCAGCTGTCACTTCTGCAGTGGATTCATCGGCTTTTGCTGTCCTGGCTCTGATCCCAGAAACTTATAAAAAGGATAAATCTAAGAAGAATATCTTCCGTGGTAGAGATGGTGCCATTATCTTGTTTAACGGATCAAATCCTAATCCGGTATCTATATGGACCGTAATGAAGGTATGACAAAAGAAAAACCCTGCTAATATATAACTGTAAAGAAGGAGAGATGAAACCAACAAGTGAAACCATGTCTAAATTGCAGGCTGAGGGAGGATCAATCTCATTTCTAGATGCAGAAAAGTCTCAAATTCGGCTTGGATATGTAAATGGAAGTCATGAGTATGTTGTTTTCGATCCCAGTAGTGATGAGACAAATGAGCGTAGCCCTATTGACTGTGAGGGTCTTGCTGGTCACGAAGAGACGACAGGT